ACAACATAGAAGAAAAGCTGTCGTTCATTTCTGTGTATTGACACTATTATGACACTATCACAGCAAATTTTCTACTCAATAAAGGGAATTCAATTCCATTCTTAGTTCACTAAGTACAGTTTCAGGTGTAAAACAGGGCCGTATTGAAATCGATACCAGAAAAATAAGGAAAACAATTACAATCGAAAACAAAAGAAATAAAAAGAAAAAGTATTTGTATAGTTTATCCTGCGTTCACAGTTTATTTGGTCAAACAATAATATTTAAACTGTGAGAATGACATCGTTTTTTACAAAAGGATTTGCCATATCGATTAATACAATGTGGATCATTTGGTAGAATTGAAAAATTAAAACAAAAAAAAACCTAATATTTAGTAAAATTCTTTTGCCTCTCCACGCAAAACAGAATACCTACGGCCCTGGTATAAAAATGGAGGAAAATACCTTAACTTCTAACGCCTTAAACTAATGATTGTTTTTCCAATGTTCCGATACAACAAACTGGTACCAGGCTTCGACAATGTTGACAGATATCATTTGAACAATTTGACTAAGCAAAACCCCCATTCGATTCGTATTTTGCTTAGGTATATACATATGTATGTAAATACATATGGGTACCCTATAATACCGGTTATTGAATTTATGTTTATTTTTCTATTCAGTTTTTGAAAAATAAATATTTTATAAGATTAAAAAAAATATATAAACATCATTCGATTTATGCAAATTTGTGTCTTTTTAAAGAACGATGAAATGCACAACAAAATAAAAAAATTACGTTTTAGGTAAATTAAACTGGTAAACAAATTTGTTGGTCATAAAATATGGCACACGCATGCTACACACATATCTATCTATGTATATACATATGTACAAATTTGCGCATAAACGTTAGTTATATTAAGCTTAGAAAAACAAGTGAGCCAGCACTGCGGAAATGGGCATCGAAGCGGTGAAGCGCTACGGAAATCACAACCAAGTCAGTTGGCAGCAAGTTTGCTAAATATGTTGTATGAAGTTATAAGTATGTAGTATGTTTATATATACATACATATGTACAAGCACTCACTCGCACAAATCTTAAATTATCGCCGATAACTGCTGCTAATTGTATTAATTAACAGATACGCCACTTGTTCACGCTCGTGGCTGGCAAGCGAAGAGTGATGAACAACAGCTAACATCAACATGTGGGTATAGTAGTATTCAAATGAAAGAAACGATTTATGAAGAAATCTAGCTTTTAACAGGCAATAATTTTTGGAGGACAATGGAAAAAGTTGGCTTTACGGATGCTGTATGTTTGTATATATCTAACATTCATTGCTAATTCGGAATATATTATTTCGGGAAAATTGTTTCTTTAAACAAACATAAATTTACTGTTTTATTACAATTTTAGCTAAGTAAATACATAACATTGAAACGTTTAGCAAACACTAATTAAGTACTTAATCTTATTGGCGATATCAAATTAAATTTGAGTGAAAAGTTGTTAAATCCATTTTTGAATTTTACAGGAGAGGTAAGGAACATTTTATAGCAGGTTTCGATGTTATTTCGAAAGATTTTATAAAAGCGGAATTAGCAACTTTCCACTCTCGTGTGACTGCTGCTTTACACGAACTGAAAATGAGTAAAATCGAATTGGTAGCCTATATGGATAGAGACGAAAATTTCCGGCACAAACAAGGGTAATTATATTTTGAGTATGTTCTTGTTTTGATGGGAATCATTTACAGTACTTTTTGGAATTTCTATGAGTACTCATTTGCACCAATTGTTATGGCTAATGAATAAGTACACCAATTTCTTTCCTACTCAAAGCAGGACTCTGTTGCCTAAATAAGTTAAATGAAAGACTTAAGATGCGAACTTGTTTATCTGAATTGCATGCTGCCTACATACCTTAGTTTTTTAGCGGATATTTGCCATTGACGAATTTCATTTGTTTTTCAAACTACACGGAAAAAAAGAGTCAGCTAAATACATACACACATATATTTCTCTTATGTTGTGGGAAACATATTTAGTTGACGTAACTTAACTCTTTTTATCAGTGTAGTTCTATGCTTTTATTTCGTCCAAATCCAGTCTGGGAACAATTGAAATGCTTGCGCTAGGTAGTGACTGTATTACAACCATACTTATGTATGTATATACACTCTTGTTGTGACTGCAAATAATATATCTAAAATGTGATGACTCAGCTTTAAAATTTGAACTTGCCTTTGCGCTTTTAACGCTATTACACAAAAGGCAACATTTTAAAATAGAGCAATGTAAAATTAAATATTTCACTAGCAATAAAAATTTTTGATTGCAAAAAAGCATTACTTATTTTAAAGTTCATTATATTGAAATGTTTGTGCAGACAGCTACAAAGAAAAGAAAAAGTCATGCAGTTTTAGGTGTTTGCATGGACACAGACATTTCATCTTACCTACCATCTGTACATCTGCAGGTGTATTGTTTTTAAGTATGTAAGTACCTATGTATGTTTTGTTTTTGTGGTGGCATCGTGTGAAATATTGTTAAGCATAATTGCATTGTTCAACGTCTGGCGTATAATTAAGAGATCGTTGCATTTTGCCTCACTTTCCTACTCGGGCACACAAACAGACTGCAAGCCCGACACACACACAAACATTCATATGTATGTATGTATGTATGCACATAAGGCATAGCAATATTATGGCAGCTCGAGGGCGTGAGAACAACCGCTAGAGCATCTCAATGATTTTCTTTGTTTCAGGCCATGTAAATGAACGAAGATTTCCATGACTATGAAAATTGCACTCGCGCTAATCAAAAATGAAGACGTACATACATACATACATACATAAAATAAAGCCAAGTAATCAAATGTCTAGATGATCGTAAATATGAAAAAAAACCGATTGGCTGTTGTTGGCGGGGCAGTCTTAGGTCACGAGGAGGGGCATTTCGACATTGAACTTATAGACTTTGAAACGCCATTATCACTGATAGTTGTATAGTAACAGTTGCTTATGCAGCAATGAAAACATATTCGGTTAGAAAACCATTAGATATGCGTTTGATTTTGGTTTGATGTTTGAAGTAAGCGAGAATTTGTTGTGAATCATTATGTGCACATAACGAGTTTTAATTATCTTGGTTTACTCGTTTGTATGAAGAGTTTCATGATCAGGGAATAAATAATCAAATGTAATAAAATTACTTTAAAGCCTTTAGGTAGCTAATTTTCAAGTACTTATAAAATCTAACAGATAAGTAGGCATAAACAACATAAATGAAGCTGTGTTGAAACTAGAATTATTTGGGTGTTTGCAGCGCAAAGTCTATCGCGAAAAAAATTAAAATAAAATGCAATTTGGCTTCCTCTCTAATATGTACTGGTTATTTCAGCAGAAACATTTTTGCGAAAAATGAATGAAATGAAAAGCTGGCAAATACCCGGCGTGTTTCACTGCGTCTTGGAAGTATTTTAGTGTGGTTTGACACCCGTATTACAATATTTCATTTATTTTATCAATTTAATTACAACAATTTTTCCAACAGGTGGCGACCCTTCCCAAAAATATTTTCGGCAGTATAGTTTCCTAAACCTCTTCAGTTTGATACCCATATTGCAATATTTAATTTATCTCATCAATTTAATTTAATTAAAAATTCAAACATGTGACAAACTTCACAAAAATATTGTCGGCTGTAATCCTTCTTAAGCCGTAAGTTGGTATCTTTCTTATTTTGATCTGAAATAAATATTTGTCGTCAGGTAAATACAAAATAATCTTTGTATAGAGAAGAATTTCACTTTTTAACCGACTTCCAAAAAAGGAGGAGGTTATCAGTTCGTCGGAATATTTTTTTTTTTTTTTTTTTTTTTATGTATGTTACCGCATAACTTTGCACCACGTCAACCGATTTCAATAATTCTTTTTGCTAGTGTCTCAGACGTGGTCCCATATTAATTTGGTTTAGATCCGATCATTGGATCATGAAATATATAGATATATATATATATTTTTTATGTCGGTTTTTTTTGTTTGCTAAAAATTACTTGTTAAATTTAAAGTATTGTGTCCGTGAATACTTAGTTCCTAGATGGTGGAGTATAATATGGGAAATTTTAAAATTTGAATTTCCACATAGATTTCTTGTTTTAAAATTGTGCGAAATATCTTGCAATTTCTTTTTTAAATATAATCTTGAGGTGAAACCAAAGTTAATGGTTTACTTCTTTACTTGAAAAGGCATTTTGATAAAGAAAATATTCCATCTCTTATAGTAAGATTTTATTAAATTTGTTCCACATACAACTCAGTGATTGTTTGCTTGCCGGTGGTATTGAGCGAGCATAGCCCAGCACCAGATTAGCGCGTAGATTTGTAGATAAGTTTGTTTTAATATGTTGGTAATGGAACACTTGCAGGCATCCCAGTGTACGGTATCTGCTCTGCATCGGAGCTGAACATCGAACAGTTATCTTTTCAATCTCTAGCAAGTTCCTTCTATGTCCCACCGTGATCTCGTTCTTTTTTTTTGCAATAAATATTGAGCAATTTAAATACATTTTAACTTAATATTTATTTAAAAGTACCTTTAGAAACCTCATTTCCTCGCTAGCGTCCAATTTTGTTTACTTTTTCGTTTGGCAAAAATATACAACTACCGATTAGGGAGCTAAGCTCCAAAATGAGGATAATCTACTTATATGTAAACCTATTATAATCATATTTATGTGCGTTTTTTTTTATATTTGTAAAAGTATTTTGTGAATTAAAATTACCAAAGTTTTTGTTTTGTATGTAAAATGTATGATAATATCGCACACCTACATCTAAAGTGAGCTAACTCAAAATTCACAGAGGGAAATTTAACTGCTTGTGGATCGTACAGATTCAACGCAATTAATACAAAAACAGGTATAACAGTAGTTTTTAGTTAATGTATATAATGATGAAGAAAAAAATGTCTACATTAATTCGATGTAAGTCCTTTGAATTGATTTATGCAAAAAAATTGCAAAAAATTTTATTTGAGTTCAGTTCAGCGCACTTTAAGAGCTATTTAGGTGTGCAATAAGATAATTCGTCAATTGAACTAAATGAACTGAATGAACTAAAAAACTAGTTCACTAAGGTGAGCGAACTACAACTGAATGGTTTACTCTAAAGAACTAAAGTGCCCAGCTCCAATCCGAATGCCAGCAGGGATACGAGCACATACGAACCCTGCAGATAATAAAACATTTATAAAAAAGTTACGTTAATATTTAGCCGTAAATTAAATACACTTTTTAATATTTGAAAATTTTGTTACTTTTACCAACGCATCAAATCAACAACACTATAAACTCCGGAGGTTGTAATAATGGCAACGCATTGTGGATTATTAAGGAATGCTGCAACTATCTAACTAAGTAAAAATCAGAAGTATACATACATATGTATATATACAACATATTTGTACAGTGTGTCTATATACATATTTATATTTCTTTTATATGTAGGTACGTACCGCAAAAGCCACCGCTCATCACCGCCGGCTCGTCATCATGGGCCTCGTCATTGGTGTGTATTAAACAAGAGTTCAACTTTTTCTAACTTTCAACACTTTTGATGCATAATTTTCCCTAATTTCTAGCTTTACGGGCGTCTATGCGAGAGAGTGCGGCATATAATAAAACATCTGCAAATTTTCACTGCATAAAAGCGAAAGATGCAAAATTACAGCACGCAAAGAAAAGAAAATTAAAATTAAAATGCAGAGATGCGCAAAAAAGACACCGACCATCAAGCAAGCGCTAAGCAAAGATGGAAGTGCTGAAGAAACAATCTTTGCCAAGCACCATTTTCATTCGATGCAAACTGCGTTTCGACCGGCCTCTAACTACCAGCAGCGTGGCGTGGCCTCCCAACTCCACCACTCGGCGGATCATTAGCGGTAATATGCGGATATGAATTGCGCATGTGCGGCGCATTTATTATGTTTGCATTTCACTAACTCGCCTCACAATTGACTGCACAGTAACACAGCTACAGGGGTATGCGCAACAAAAACAACATCACACTGAGAGTACATCGATAGCTAGCTAGCGGTAGCTGCCGTCGCAATCCTTCTTCCGCCTTGGCGTTGTTGGTTGCTTCAATTGTAATGGGTGTTAACATAGTACATAAATATGAATGCATTCACCCAGCAGAATATTTGACTAACTCAGAACTAGCGTAGAACTAGAGCTTTTGCCGACAGTACTAGCTCTCGCGCAATACCCAAGCAATGCTTTCAACTGTCCAGTTTTACACGGCGATGTCATTGGCGGTGGAAATTGTCGCCCATTGGATTACTTTGCAGCTAGTTTTTAACCGGTACCGTTTTGGACAGTTTTTTTTATAAGAAAACGTTTTCAGTTTTTTTTTCATTTCTTTTAAAGATTCCACGTTTGTTACACATTTTATAAAAAGAAATTAAATTTATTGTAAGCGGTACACAACAATTTAAATTCATTAAATTTGAAAACTCACAACTGCCTCCACCGCGATTTGAATTCGCGACCAAAGATGCTTGAGTCGTCGTAGGTCTTCTCGCTTAGCTACTTTCATATTGTACGACAAGTGCGAATTTGTACGCTTACACCGCAAGTTTCAACTGTCCCGCTCTGCAGCTATTTTGCACCACTTCAGAGATAAGTAGTTCTGAAATATGTAGTTCGGAATTAGCGCTTTGCCAGACTGTCTCTAAATTTTACTACAGGGTATGCATGCACTGTATATGTATGTATGTATGTGTAAGCATAAATGAATATATTAGTCTGTATGTATGTAGGTATTTACTACATTGTACATTGTACATATGCATTCGCAAGTGGCTAAAGCTGATTGTTGTAAAAGCCTCCACTGCACCAGGCGGCGGCGGTTGCTTGGTTACCCGCTGCCACTGACTCGATCGGCTGGCTGGCTACTCGGAGCGTACGCACCGCGTGCGCCTGCCGGCAGTACCTGCCACCTCTGGTTCGCTCTCCTCACACACAATCTGTTCAATTATGCGCGCAATTTTCAGTTTCGCCACACATTCGCTGCTCGATACGCGTAAATTTCGTAATGACTTCACTTTAGAAGACTCGAGCAATTTTGTTTTGCAATGCGAGTTCATAAAAAATACCCACATATATGTATATGTACGTAGTCGCAACTTTTCTTCGGGAATACAAGTATGCAAGTGCTATAAGAATTTGTGACGCAATCGAATTGTTGACATTTCAGCAGCTTTCTAACCAGTTTCGTTGTGTAACTTCAATGTTATTTGAATTGAGACTTTTCTAATACATACATAGAGAATACTTTTTAATTCATAATAAATTAACTTAGTTTATATTTCTATATATTTATAACACTTTATTGCTAAAAAATTTTCATGTAGTAAATATGTATATATTAGGGATGTTTCGAATGTCTTATTTTTCACACTCGCGAATACGAATGCGAGTCTGAGCCTTCGACTTCGCCTTCGCTAGAGGAATCTAAAATTATTTCTAGGTTTCTTATAAGACCTTTAGCAGTACTTATTGAAGGCCCATCAATGTTGCTTGTTAGCGCCTGAAGCTAAAAGCCAGTTATTGTCCGCACCCTGGTTAGACAGACTTAAAATCATTTAAACAATATTAGAGTGGACTCTCTGCCCATGTGAAAACATTTGATCGTTTGATGCGAATGCGAATATCGAATGCTTATGTGTAAAATGATGCGCATCATTCGCATAACGAATGAGAATGCAAATATTCGCAACATCCCTGGTACATATGTACATATATTCTAATTACAAATAAAATTAGACCATACATGCAGGGTATCGAAATATATCAACGCCCGCGCCACCTACTGGCCTAATTTTTTGTGTAGTTGTTTCCTTCCATGTAGGTAATATATATATTTCAAATATGAATCAAAGCGGATTATAAATACGGGGTTTTCAAATATTTCGACTCCTGTGCCATCTAGCGGATTAATTGTGCTTTAATTATTTGTTAATTTCTCTATAGAGCAGGCTTCCTTTTCTTACCATTTTGTGCCCTCTTCTACCGCACGTTTGTTTGTTTTGTTTGTTCTAACCCACAAGCGCAGTGACTAGCTATGCCAGAAAAAAAAGAGAAGCAACCCGCTAAATAATTTGCATGATATATTATTATCGGTCTCAATAGAAGTATTGGATTGGATGTCGTTGCCACAAAAAATTGATAACCTCTTTCTCATTCAAACCAAAGGTTACAGAAGAAAATATATCTAATATCTTACCAATAATTAATAGGATCAGTACTTAGTTTACTCGACTTTGTATTGAGTATTGAGGTGCAAATAGAACAAAAAACTTAATTATTCCACTTTCTTATATCTTTTTTAGCGAGAAATGTTGGAGTCAACATAAGTGAAATTTCCTATTTTAAGCTCGTCAAGAAAGATGCTGACATTTCTTCGTTAATGAGGGGTCACGGCATCTCTATAGGATGTTTTGTCGTGCTTCTCGATTTCGAAGATTTCGACTGTAACGCACCTTTTTGGAAGCAAACATGTATTTTACTACCAAGAATATAATTTAATCGCAGAGGCATGATTTTGTTGCTGGTAAACCAACAGTTATATTCTATTTTGTAGTTATTGTATTGCGGCGTTTTCAGCAACATGTATACTGATTTCTCTAAAGCGCTCGCATAAGTGGGCATAGTTACTGTTGACGGTGTCTCCTCTATACCTCATACTGTGTCTTCTTGCTTACCTCAAGGCTTATCTTAGGCCCCACCGCCTTAATTTTACTCTCTTAGAAAATATTTAACATTGTGTGTACTTTCTATAACGTTTCCGATAATGTACTTACTTAAACCTGTTGAATAAACCATAGATCCAGTCGTTTTTTTTCAATTCGCGTTTTATGTTCACAAATTGTATTTATCATCTCTAAAGAGTACTCCGTCTAATAGCATAGTTAAAATTTCCACTTGCTCATATCTTTAACCCTTAACAACCCAGTAACCTTTTATAACGTATCCGACCAGTAGTGTCTAGCGGACTCACCAAATAATTCTAAGGCATTTTCGAAAGAAAACAAAGGCACTGTGATTGCAACAAAATATCATAGTATGTATAATAGATGTACATACTTCAATATAATCACTTTAATGTATTATTAACTCAGTTAATGGGTATAACAAATACATTTTGAATGCAAAAAAAAAAATATACGACTACTTGTGTTATGTACTTCAATATTTAAATTTTTATGTTATTCATTTAGTAGATTATTCATTTAGTACAAACAATTTTTTGCAGTGTTCAAAGCAAACATTGCGATCGCATTGTTCAAAAGATGTCAATATTTGTGAAGGACAAATGTGACAACGCTTCTTTTTTTTCCCGGACAGGTTCAAGTGATGCTTGATCCTTGTATGTTATGGTAAGTGATAACTTACTAAACTAGTGATGATAAAAATATTTTAGTTTGACGTTTGGGTGCAAAAAACCTTGGTGATAGATTAGATAAAATGGTTTTTCGAAAAAATAATTACTTTAAGTTTTATACGTAAACGAACTTAAAAATGTGTCCGCGAGACACTTGTGGTTGTTAAGGGTTAAATGAAGTATTATTTATTTGTGTGTTGGTGTTGGTTTATTTTTCCGACAGGGTGGTAAGATGATTTATTTTGGAACGAATTTCCGTCATCCCTTGTCAAACTTGGTTTGCAGACAAACCGGTTTCGGCGTTGTGCCATCTTCAGTGTCATTTTTCGTTCTGTCTGGTTCGAGATTTGTCCCTAATTTATGTTCATTTATCTTAGGTAATGTGATTTTCGTCGATGATTAATTACTAGATATGCCATGGTGCCCATTTTTTTGAAGCAGGTAATAGGTTCATCTTCGCTGTTTCGATATTAACATCCATTATGTTGTCGCTGTATGGTTTTTGCCTGCAGGTAGGTAAAAGTCAGTGACTTTTGCCCTGGTGGTGCTTTTTGGTGTGTTCGGAGTGTCCATGCCTGTTGTTTTGTTGTCATTCGTTTATTATTTTGCCGTCGAAGGTTTTTAGTGGCCAAAATGCCAAATGAACTTTTCTCTCAAAGTTTACACTGCTGGCAAATGTAAATAAGGATTAAATTTTAAAAACTAATTAATACAACTAAAGTAAAATCTGTAGAAAATTAACAATAAAATGCTTTTTTCGCAAAATCTATAAAGGACTCTTTTATTTCTCAAAAAAACATGGGTAACAGTTATTCGTCGCCACGCTGTATTTCTTTTGTTAGTTCTAGATTAGAATATGCTGCGTTTATCTTTTGATCTTACCACCAATCCTTTTTTTAAAGGATTGATTGTGTAAACAATTAAATTTAAAAATAAATAACTATTCAAATGACATCGACGTCGACGTCGACAACCATAATAGGGCCGATTCATGTGTCTATATATATCATACTTTTCTCTACTAGCCTCATGCTTTATATGCACACATATTCACACGTAGAAATTAGAAGAAAGTCTTGCTTTGAGAAAGAAAATATCAAACTTTTGAGATTCCATTAGAAGAAAGAAAGAAGAAAGGTAGTTGGAAATAATCTAAGCCAACACAAATAGAGTTGTGCTTTTCATTTAAGTTGCTGGCGACAATTCGAAATGACTAATAAATGGCTATGTTTACTGAAATGTGACAATGCAAGACACATCTAATAAAAAAGCATACAAACAATGTCCATATGTACATATGTACGTACGTATGTATGTATGTAGATATGTGAGCGTATGAAGAAAGCAAACATGAATCAGCAGCAGCATTTCAATTGCATTGCAATGCTTTTTTCGTGTTTTCTTTCTATACGTTTTTCGTACAGTTTTGTTGTCATCATAATCATTAGTATTGACTTTGAAATGTTTATAACGAAATAAATATTTATCGATTTGAAGTGCATTGAAGCGTTTGTGGACAATGTCATTTCCTTTACGTGCAAAATACATTTCTAAAATATGAAATAATTGGAATGTACATATGTAACTCAATAAGCTAAAAGTATTTATTGTATTTAAACCGAGTGAAATTGCAAATACGTATGTATGCAATATAGATACATGCATGCATTTTTATTCTATATAGGGAGATAGTATCCAAATGGAACTAAATGCATTTTCACAAAATGGTGAAAAAATCATGGTTTCAATTTAAAATTGGAAATTGTTCAAAAGCGCTGCTTCTTGAGCTGAAATTTGCAATATATTTTGTCATATTTTTATTTTTTATATAACTGATGAATCATATAAGATAACCAGTAAATAGCACGGTTACTTCCTCCCCGCTCAGTGTTAGTGTTGCTAGCCGGAGGAAATTTGGTTTAGCCGCTTTGACAAAAAAAAATTAGTCGATTTTAGCTATTTG